AAAAAAAAAAAAAAAAAAAAAAAAAAAATGACAACACACCAGCTGAAATCTGTACCACAGGCAAGTGAAAAGTGCCATGAAGCAGCAGGGCGGGGCTCCCTTCACCCGGAGATGACCCAGAACACACCTGGTCATTAAGGGACAGGAAACTGAAGCAAAGAAATCAGCTGTGCAAATGCACCCGTCCTGAGGAAACCGGGGGGATATATACACACACACACACGTATATTCTTTTTCAGATTCTTTTCCCTTATAGGTTATTACAAAATATTGAGTATAATTCTCTGTATTATACAGTGGGTCCTTGTTGGTTATCTATTTTATATATAGAACTGTGTATATGTTAATCCCAAACTCCTAATTATCCTTCCCCTGCTTCCCCTTTGGTAACCATAGTTTGTTTTCTATGTTGGCGGGTCTATTTCTGTTCTGTAAATAAGTTTCATTCAGGATTTTGAAATAAGGAATTGGGATGCCTTAGAGTTGATAGACCTCTGGGGCTCTTGCTTTAACTTATTCTTCTGGTGTTGATCTGTATTCAAGGGGTCACATGCATGCTAAGCCCCACTAAAACCCATTTAGAGCAATCATTGATTTAGAGTTTCTCTCCTGGTGCTTAAATATCATGTTACTAATATTACATACTATTCAGTAATCTGTTTAACTAATTGTAAATATTTATAAATTAGTCTAAAGTTGTTTAGATCTTAAGTATAGCATACTCAGGGGTGAGAGTGAGTTGAGCAGTGACTGCACGAACAAGGAGCTTCCTCCTCAAAGTCAAGCCAAGAGTTTGTTTTTTGTTAATGAATCTACAATTTATATAAAGAGAGAGGAAAAAAAAAGAGAAAGCTATTAGGAACTGTGTAGTGAAAAGCAGGTAGAACTCTCCTACAGTGTTTAACAGGTGGAGGTGAGGAGGGAGGGATGGGGAGGTGGGGCAGGGCGGCAGGCATCTGGATGCAGGTGGGGGGGGGGGGGCGGGGGGGGGGGTCGTCAGCATTGGTGAGCTTGTGGAAATGTGTAATTTGGTGATGGAGCTGCGGGAAACACTGGCTGTGAAGGGCCACCGTTTGCTATCTGAAGCAGCATGATCCTTGGGCGCGCCGCTGAGGAACTTTATACCGCAAGCAGTGTGATCAGACCTGAGTTCCTTCGTTCCGGGGTAGAAGACAAGATGGAGAGGGAAGAGTCTGGAAACGGCACTGGAAAAGCGGAAGAACGAGGAGATAATGGTAATCCCAGAGATAAGGGGGGAATGTGGGCCGGGGGTGGGAGGGGACAAAGTCACTGTCAAACACTGCCGAGGAATCAGGCTGGATGAAGGCTAAAACAGCCTCTGAATCAGGTGTCAGGAGGGCCGCCATCCTGGTGGAGGGCAGGTAACAGATGCTGTCAGTTATCCTCACTGTGAACAAGGGACACCGTGACTGACTATGCACCACCTTGAACGTTAAGCAAGGAACAGAACCAAAACCCAGTCACCTGGTTCTGGCCTACGGATCCTTTAGAAGTTCACCCCATTCCCATAAACAGCCATTACATAATTACACGTAAGAGCAAGCTATCGGTAACTGGGCACTTACTTTGCTGCAATAACTGCAGTGATTGGAACTCTGAACAGAGGACCTGCGTTAGGCGATGCTATATCATAGCCACATACCTTGAAAAAGGAATAAGTGTCAGTATCCATAAACAGACTTTTTAAAAAAGAGAAAATAAAAAAGGGTGAATCTACTCAGAGAATAAATTAATCTAAGATTAAAATGTAAAGGTCCTAAGTACAAGTTGGCATCAATTTTCTGATGTCAGGCCACATAATTAATGGCAAACAGCCTGGACAAATACACGCATGACAACCCTTGACTTACTCAGACTAATGGGGAAATGGACTGCTACACAAAGACTTCTACACATTTTAAAGACTAAAGAAAGTAAAAATGAAGATATCCCAATAAATACCTCTGTATAATGCAATCCTTCTCTTAAGCCCCTGGGATCCACACGTATGTTTATGTGTCTGCACTGATTCATGAGTTCCAAATGGCTGGGACACTGAACCCATGATGAATTCGAAGTTAAAGCTAAATGAAGCTGAAGGGATATTTTCTCAGAGTTTTCTGGCGTTAAAAAGACCAAAAAGTAAAGATTAGTTATTTTTTCCTTTTCTTCCATTTTAAAACGTTCTGTCGTCTGTCAAGAAAATTCCACGGATACATGTGGTTGGTTGTAAAATCCAGTAGGCACGGGCTCCCGAAACACAGCTTACATAAAACAGCCACAGAACCTCCCTCACACTTATTTTAGGATGCTCGGAATCCATTCATGTGTTCACCCAACATGGCTGGCTACAACCTGAACACAAACCATTTTAGTGAATATTTTTCATTATTGCATACAATCAACAGAATCTGACTAAGATAAAAGACTCCTAAGTTTACAGTGATGACAATTTTGTTCACAGTCGTTGGGCCGGGGTTCTCCCTGGCTGCTTCTGCTTCCCACTCTCCAACCAAAAACTCTTACACCCAAGTAGTAAAAGTGGGAAAGAAAAGGAATTTGATGCTTTACTATCCACAATTTAATAAAAGCTCCAGGTCCCTAAAAGGCCCATGCTACTGTTTTTCTGGTAGACACACTGCCAACCGAACTGCCATTGTATCAGGATCCCTAATTGCCATCAGTGATCCCTACACCTCTATGAAATACAAAATAATAACATTGTCAAGTCCTGTCTTCTCTTTAGAACATTAGCCTAAACAGCATTTTCTCTATTGTGGTACAATTCATTCAAAGCATAAATGTGAGCACATCAGCTTACTGTCCGGTTATTACTCACCAGTATTTTCTGGAAATACAGGTTCAATGCCAACACCGTGATCTGAAGGTGCAGCCACCTGAACAGGATCTCGGAGGTAGATGCCACGGTTATTTCCAACAGTAACAGTGAAACCTAACTTATTAGCAAATGATGTATTCTGAACGAGGTAGTCATAGGCTTTATCAACCTAATTAAGTGAATACAAACAGTAAGATATACACGGTTGGGTCAAGAAAGTACTTTATTGCAGATCCCCAATTTCTTTTCCATTGTAGCAAACTACAAGCAAAAGTCAGTTTCTCCATCTGCCTTTCTGACCTACACGGAAACCCCATTTAGGAGGGCAATTCTACCTCACTGGACAAAACACTGGTCTAGCCACTGGACTTGCCTTCCACTCCACCCTCTTTACTCCCAAGTGACGAAGCTAGGAAACCTCCACATGCCATTACGACTGGCCGGCTTCTGCCCTCTGCTGCTCTGCCGTGAACTCCACCCTCTACATGTCCTATGTCTATTATGTTTCTCCATCTTAGCCCCACCAATCTGTCTTCAGTACAAAATTTGTTTTCATACCCTCTGCTTACAGTTCAGAGACTACTCTGGCATATAATCAATTAGAAAAACTCAATCGTCATTATAATAGGAGTATTAACCAGTAGTCACTAAAATATTATCCTGCTGATTTACAACCCGTTTTTTTCGTACAAAGGACAATACCTGAATAATACCATGTCCTTGGGCAAACACTTCTATATTGTCAGCCTTCACTGCAGTGTTTTCGAGAGCTCTTCTGACTGAATGAACCGTGTAGTTAACATTATTAGCTTTCAGACCTAAAAGCCAAACACAGAAAACAAGAAAGTAGTGTCCATCAGTTGAGCTGGTTACTTGAAACACTCTTTGCTCACTAGTACGGATAGCGCGCACATCCTCTGGTTTTAACGTCAACACTCACTTTTAAATCTTCTTTTATTAAAAACAAACAAAAAACTGACAAAACAGTCTGACTCAAGCTGCTTGTGTTAACGCAAAGACTTCATTCAACGAAAATTCCTGTGTGCCCACTAGGCAGCGGCATGAACACGGGCTCTGCACTGGGAATGTGAACGTCTGAGCAAAAATTACCAAAAGGCATTCGAATGACACCTTCCTTAAACTACTGCTGGTCAAACAACATGGTCACTGGCACAAGGTCTCAACCCGGGTGCACATTATAAACACCAAGGGTACTGGAAGGAGGCAGAAAGATGCTGAGGTCCCGATGCAATTAAATCAGCACCTTTGAGACTGGATCCCAGGCATGGCCACTGATTAGAAGCTTCCCTGGCAATACCAGGGAGCAGTGAGGCTGGGGCTGACTGTCCTCTGGGAATGATGTGGAGGCCGCCAAGCCGTCCACCTTCTGATAATGACTGCTGTTAGAGGCGCAAGATGAGTAAGAGCGCACTCCTGTCCCCTCCAGAACTGAACACGCAGACACTTAGGAGAGTAAGCCCTGAGCAAAACAAACATGGGAACGTTACGGCGCTCTGAGAGCAAATCAAGAAGGTGACCATTATGTCAGTGAGAATCCACGAAAGGGTGATGCTCCATGAGAACAGATACATGAGTCGGTATCCCTAGTAGTGTCTATCAGAGGAGACACAGGGAACACACAGGCCAAGACACGGCAGAAAGGAGCTCCAGGCAAAGAGAGCAGCGTGCCACAGACAAGAGGCACGAGCGACCCTGAGATACTTGGCGAGGTTGAACAGGACCAGGACTGTGGGTGGAGAGCCTGGGATCTGACCAGAGGGACGCTGCTGGGGAGGGGTCTTCAGGCCTGCCGGGCCGCCCGGATGCTGAGCCCTGGTCCGGGCCGACGCTCCCCGTCCAAAAGCACAGCAGCCTCTCGCACGCCAGCCTAGCACCCTGTCGGCTTCACTGGCTCCATGCCAATATTCACTGTCTTCTTACATGTAACAGTAACCATTTTAAATTTTGTTCACAGTCTGTTTCTCCTCCAACTTTAACATCAACTCCACACAGGCAGGTATTTTTGATGCTCTGTTCACTAATTTAGCCCCAGAGCTAAAATAATGCTTAAGAGTCATTAACAGCCAATGAATATGCTTGCTGAATGAATACACATTCAAATCATTATCATCACATCAACTATTCTCCACCTTAAACTTTACTTTGGGCCAGGACATTCCCAGTTGTATCACATTTTCTCACCCTGAGAAATTCAGGAATTAAAACTATCTGCCTGAAATAAGAGAAATTTATTCAATTACTTTTCACGGCCACAATTTGACTTTATTTTATGCTATGAACATGAAATTGTCTAGATACTTCACACCTACTTAACTAAGCTTATACATAAGTCATGCATTTTAGAACCAGGACCAAGATGAAGTATAAATGATACTTTTAAAATCCATTTTATCAAGTTACTTCTATCTTATTAAGAAAAGTAATGAAACTCTGGCTGAAGTACACATGGAATAGCCAACAACTCACTGTCGCTTCGCTGGGAAATTGAGCAACGGTAGTAAGGTGAGCAACGTCGTTACCTGACAGAATCAGGGCAATGCCTCCACACGCGTTGGGAGAAGACATAGACGTCCCGTTCATGAGCTGAGTTCCGCGCAGCGTCCAGTTAGGAACAGAGGCTATGGCACCTCCTGGGGCACTGATGCTCACTCCAAGGGCCCCATCAGCACTGAATGAAAGCAGTTAAGAGTCTGCTTACGACGGTGGCCATTGGATAAACAGGGCCTTTGTAAAAAGGCCACTGGCCAAATAAATTACAGTACAACACATGAACTAACCGCAGTCACGGCTATTTCACTATTACGCAGCAGTTTTTTCCCCATAAGAGGACAAAATGTCTGTGTGTGTGCGTGTATGCGCGCACGTGTGCATGTGCGTATCTGGGCTTACACGTGGCAGGCCATAGCATCAAGTATGTTTTATAGAAGGACAGTAAATGAGTGTCGCTGCTCAGACGCCTGATGAATGTACTTTTCTGGTCTGTAATAAGCAGAAGCACCCTCTTGTCTACAAAGTCTAAAATAGCGCTGTCCAGGAGAAGCATGTGGGACAAACATTTAAAGTTTTCTAAAAGCCATATTTAAAAAAAGCTAACAAAAAGATGGTTTACTTAATTTTAGTAACATATTTTATTTAACCCAACATATCTAAAATATTATAATTTCAACATGAAATTGATAGGAAAAAATGAGTTAATTTACATTCTTTTTTGTACCAAGTTTGCAAATCTGGTGTTCATTTCATACTTGCATCACAGCTCAGTTCAGACTCTCATGTGACCAGTGGCTGCCATGCTGGACTCAAGCCAGCAGGGTCTGCTGAGTTAAAGCCCATAGAGTTCACCATCGCATCATCACCAAACACCAGCTCAACAACTATTGTTGTTCCTGGCTAGGAATATTGGGGCTATTTGGTTTCATATTTTAACAGAGAATTGAAAGCAATGCAAACAACTCCTGTAATGGGTTGGTGGCAGCCCTCCTAGTGACTATCCTAAAACAAATATTATTGGGTAAATATCTGTTGACCTGTAAAAATGTTCTCACTGTATTACCAAGTGACAAAAGTAGGTTATAAAAGTGCCTGAGTAGCGTGTGCTTCCACTTACGCACACGGTAATGACTAAAAAGATGTTCTTCGAAATCTGACCCATACATACGACAGATGACGAAGTTTAGGGTGATTCCCACTTTTCTCTTTGCACTGTCTATGTTGTCTACCAATGTTTGCACTGAACCTTGATATCTTGTAACTGGAACAAATAACTGGGAAGACTCATGAATTCTGACTACTTCCTTACTCTCTATTAATTTTCCGCTAGTCTGTTAAAGTGGCTGATCATAAAGCATTTCTGGTGTTGGAAATAGTGTTCTAAAAATAGGTTCCATAAAACGTAAATAAAACTTTCACTGAAATAAAAAAATAAAATTTTCCTTATATAAACCTAACATATTCTTAGTGAAGGATTGTAGACATGGGCGTAAAATTTGTAACAGAATAGTTATGTCATACATCTAACAATGAAATAACTGTAATTTATTTAATTACCTGTTTCCCTAAAATGAGATTGTTAATCAAAATGAAAATGCAAAAACCAATAGAAAGAATCAGTAAAATGACCAAAACTCTACCCCTCCCCACCATGCAGTTTAACAAAATATTTGTAATAGTCCCATGTGCTTGCTACTCTCAACCTACCTGGGGCCTCTAGAAGACCACGTGTACTGATTTGCAGGTAATTTCTCTCTCAGAGAATACTCGGCAACCATCATATCAGGAGAAACGTAGGCACCAACACCTGTGGAGTGGATCTGGTCATTAACAAAAGGACACAAGACAGGGATCCTAATTCTAAACCCACTGCTCCATCGGCTGTGTGACCCTGGTAAATCGCCTACTCTCCCGATACCACAGTTCTCTCTCACAAAATGGAAAGATAAGAAAATTTAATAACCAAGGCAAGTTTACTACATGCCAGATGTTACACTAGGTGGTATGCTTTTGTATATAAAAATATCTTCCAGGATTATTATGTGGATTAAATATAATAATGTATCTAAAAGTGTATCTTTGTGTAAAAGAGAAAGAGAAATGTGTTTCAAATTTTAAAAATATAACTTTAGAAAGATAAGGAATCAGTTGACTGGTCTTCATTTTTAAATGACCACAAAAATGGCTGTAGTAAATAACAAGCATATAACATGCTACATACAGTCTTTTATTATTATTTTTTTTTTTTTTTTTGCGGTACGCGGGCCTCTCACTGTTGTGGCCTCTCCTGCTGCGGAGCACGGGCTCTGGACGGGCAGGCTCAGCGGCCATTGCTCACGGGCCCAGCCGCTCCGCGGCATGTGGGATCTTCCCGGACTGGGGCACGAACCCGTGTCCCCTGCATTGGCAGGTGGACTCTCAACCACTGCGCCACCAGGGGAAGCCCTACATACAACCTTTTAGATAAATGTGCAGATGCAAACTAGTTAGACTATGCAATTGCAGAACATAGAGATCAAACGCAGTTCCTTCATTCTAGAAATTTGGAAGCAGAGCGTAGAGAGATTAAAAAAGTTTACTAAAGGAAATGACCGGCAGAGACAAGACTTAGAATCGAAGTCTACCAGCTCCTCATTCTTCTTTACAACACACACATCTTCAGAGCAGAAGTCTAGATAAAATTAGTGAGTTAAAAGGACTCAGGTTAATGATGCTGCCACATAAAACTAATCGTTTTGTAAAATTTAGTTTAAAATTTTCAGTGAAACTGGGGATAAAAAAATGACAAAATACTGAGCATTGTAGCAGCGCAGTGTATTTTGATCATTAGATACCTTTGAGATCTATTTTCTGTACTTAAAAATATCTAGAGATCTGAAATACACAAGGGATGTATCACTGGCAGGCACTGTTATTTTAACACACGATTTAACAGAATTACTGAATCAAAAGGTTTCAAACTACAATAAAGGGGTCCAGTGGTAAAGAATCCACCTCGCAACACAGGGAACGTGGGTTCGATCCCTGGGAACTAAGATCCACGTGCCACAGGGCAACTAAGCCCATGTGCTACAACTACTGAGCTTGTGCACCTCAACTAGAGCCCGTGTGCTGCAAACTACAGAGCCCACGTGCCACAAATTACAGAGCCCACGTGTTCTGGAATCCACATGGCACAACTAGAGAGAAGCCACGTGCCACAACGAAAAAGGTCGTGCATGCCTCAATGAAGATGCCAGGTGCCGCAACAAAGACCCGACACAGCACCCCCCCCCCCAAAAACAAAACCAAATTATATAAAGCAAGCTACACCTTGCTTAAAATTTACAAGCTATAAATAAAAGCACGTCCTATAAACGTAAGGTCACTGATATTTCAAAACAAAATCATTTTCAAAAGGACCAGTTTCTGTTCTAAGCTTTGATGCCCAAATTTTGTTTATAACATCAATAATATCTTTACAACTATAATAACACTTATGATATATACCTATCTGTTCAGTTACTGATGGATACACCAGAAAAACTGTTTGGGACCAGTTTTTACAGTCATGCATCCAATCACAAATGTTAAGAGGTGTAAGCCTTATTTTGATCCCAAATTTAAAAATAAACCAAAAAACTTTAGGCCTCATTTACTACATAAGGGATCTCTCAATTCATCCTCCTCATTCATGATCCTTTTTTTTTTTTTTTTTTTCCCTCATTCATGATCTTATTAAAAAAAATCAGGGCTGGGTTTCATGTTTTGTGGAGGGGGGGTTTTGCACAAGGTGGCAGCTACTGTACTATAATGGAAGTTAATTTGATTATTTTCATATTATGACTGCAACTAATTTTGCTCTCCTACAACTCCTGTTGACAGGCATTTCTTCCCGTTAGATTACAGCGAAACAACACTGCATCAGATCCTGAAGACCAAAGAGTGGGAAAAAGCCACATTCATAGAACAAATGTGATTCAACTGCTTTTCACAATGAAGCTCCCTTCCTCTACATCTAAATCTTTCTGCATGTTCCAAGAGAAATTAAAAGAGGAAACGCGACTATAAATAAATTGCCCTACACTATAAATAAGAAGTGAAGCAAGTGTCTTTATGCTGTTTACTTAGCCTGGAAAGCCCTTCTCTTCCTTATTTCTACCTATTAAAATCCTCATTCTCACACTGCTTTCAGAAAGCCTTGCCCAAATTCTCAAAGCAGAGGTAACTGCACATTTGTAATCCCACAGCCCTGGATCTGTACTTCCAGTAACCCCCTTACTCCAGGCTGCTGTAGGGGAAATTCTAGATCAGCAAGTCCCTACTAGATTTCACTTTCCTAAGGATCTACTTAAGGCTCACAGTGTCTTGCATAGAGTAGAGATACAGTTAACATTGGATGAACTGAGGGTTTTTGCCTGCTTGTTTCTAAGTCTATTTCTAAAACAGGAAACTAACCTATCACACTTGATGTGGTTCCTCCTGGGCACCCGACTGTAGAAAGGCAGGGGCCGTTATTCCCAGCACTTGAAACATAAATTACGTTATGCTTCCACACGGCTTCACTAATTACTTCACATATTCTCCTGAAAGAGAGAGACAATTCCGCTGAACATATAAAACTGTCCCACTTTTCAAGAAATATATGACCATAATGTGAAAATATTTTCAAACATGGTGTATATGAAAAAACAAACCAAAACAAGGGTTCTAAGTAGCATAAGTAAGATGGTGGTCATGGATCAGGAGAGGTGCTTTAGAATCACTCAGGACATCCTCAAACTACAAGTGCTGAGCTCCTATGCCCAGAGTGTTTATAACACCAAAGTACGCTCAAACGCATGGTTAAGTAAATTTTGGCACATCCACCATTGGTGGAACACGATACAGCCATCCCAAGAGATACACCCTCGTTGGGTTTTAGTGGAGGGAAGGAGTTAGGAGGCCCCAGGTTAAACATGGGGAAAATGCTAGACACAAAACTGAATAAATGTGGGGAAAATAAACTACAAAAGGACCAAGAGCAAAGACTGAACCACTGGGCAGTGACTGGGTGGTGGGACAACAGGGGTCCACCTCCATCTACCACTTAAAGTATTCAGAAATGACTCCTCAGGGATCCCCACACAGTTGTGACAAGTGGCAAAGGTGAAAGTGGAAATAAGGCACTAAGAAGAACTTAAATGTAGGATTTAAAATATAAGAAATCTGGTTAGAGCTTGACAGCAAATAAGAAAAATGTACTGGTATTAATTAAAGGAGACAAAGTTAGACCACAAGGAAGAAAATGTGGTCAATATAAAAAAAGGTAAAGGGCCAAGGACACTCCAAAGTGATAAATGTGAAGGAAAGAACACTAGGGAAAGCAGACTTTAACAGA